TCAAATGTGTATATAAGCCAGAACAGTATTATTGTATAATGCTGTATAAATAGTATTGTGTAATTAACTCAAACCATTATGTATTTAACTCAAATTTTGCTACAATAGGTTCCATTCTTAACTATGGATCATCCGTAAACATGACATTCTTAACCCAGGGACTACCCGTATATCATTCTGAGTAGGAATAATGAGACAATCTTCCTTTTTCCTTCTACAGTAGTTACAATTTATTTTAGACTATATCTTATTATTATTCTATTTGTCCAAATGAGTATCACAGTCTAATCAATTGGATGTTGACACCAATTATTTGCATCCCAGCCAAAGACCCAAGAGCCATGGAGGTATATGATATTCCAGGTAGGGTCATCTTTGCAAAATTAGTGGTGTCAAGTCCAGTAAAATTTAAACTTCTAAATATCTCATAAATCCTTTTGGCACTGCATCAAGACCTTCAATTACAACTGATAGGCCAATAATTTTTTTCCTCCATAAACTTTTGGCCTCACCTTATTAATCAAGATATTTTGTTATTTTCTCCTCTTATTTTTCATCAGTTGGACTGTCTCCAGAAGAACGTACCTTCTTTCCTATATGAATAAAGTCTAGTGTCTTGTTCTAAGTGCTGATCAGTTTGAATTTTGAAATCTCACAGCATTTCATCTCATTTTGCAAACTTTTTCATGCACATAGTCTCAGTGCTTTTTACAAACGGTAAAGCTCAATTTTCTATATACATTCCAATGGACAATTTTTGCAATCCTATCATGGCGTTTGTACTTTGAGTGATTTTACTACAGCCGCTAATGAGCCACTGAGATAATCTACAGATATAATCAACATTTGGTAATGACAGAAATACATTCACTTTCATTTTTGATGGTATTGGTTTCTGGGACTTGTTCTTGAGCTGCCATGATTGTCCCCTCAGTTTCTTTTTTTAGTGTTTCAGATTTCAACCACAACCATGTTAAATTTATTTATTTTTTACCCTGCCTTTATTTTTTGTTAACTCAAGCTGGTGTCTATGTGTAATGTTCCTGTCTTCTATTTTCCTCACTGCCACCACCCTGTGGTTGGGTTGAGAGAGAGTTGGTTGGACCAAAGTCACCCAGAGAGCTTTCATGTGTAAGACTAGACTGAAGCTGCCATAACTAAAGATGGAGCTGGCACGTAAGCAGAGAGGACAAAAAGCCAGGAATCTTGTTTATGAGATACCTTTGGGGAGGTAGATAAGAAGGAAGCAAGTCGTTAAGGAAACAAAGGAAAAATGTGACCTGAACCAGACAAAAGAAGTTGGGCCTGAGCACATGGAAACCCCCAACCCAAACCCATCAACAG